AAAACTGAAATTTAATGTTTATTTATTCTTTTTTTTATTTTGAACTCGAGCAATTTTATTTACAAACCAAACCAATTACGACAGTCAACATTTTCAATAAAAATACAAACGTACATCAAAGCAATTTACATATATGCTTTGAGTTGAGCTGTACATGTAGATGTAGAATTGTGTCTGAACCTTGAATACTTTTAGTGTTACTCTTTCTATTCTGTTCAGCAGCAGACCTAGGGGAAACTTTTCCTAAAACTGTAAATGATTTATTTTATGTACATTGTCCCAATAAAATTTCCTCTTAATGAATTTAACATTATCTGCCACCAGAGGGCGTCGTTCTGCGTTAGTGACTAGAGATCGCCGTCGCGTGTCTGGCGGGGGTTTCTGGCTTCATTTACTTCAACAAGTCATGTTTGTATAATCAAACTGGTAATATTACTATTCTGAGGTATTTGTCACGATCAGTACATTGTTATTTTGTTAAAATGGTCGATTCATGTCTCCGTATTTAACAGCGGTTAAGTACTGTAATTGTTCGCGTCGGTGCTTGTCTTGCATCACAGAAATTTTACTCTCCCAGTTTCTCCTAAAATTCACCATTTCCTCTTCCATGCACAAGAGTTCGGAATTCTGCCTCATGACGAGTCCTTCCAGTCCACCAATTTGCTTCGAGTCCGGGTCAATAAACAGCGCCATCTGTCGGTTGAGCTGCCGTGAAGTATTATTAACAGCGGTTGTTGTGTCATTTTCTGAATCGAGTTCACCAAATCCGTTGTTTATGTTACCATGTAAACGTCGTTGTTGTTTTTTCGTTAACATCTCACTAATAGGTGCTAGGGTTTCGCCATATATACTATCCAACTCACCGCCTTGCTAGTCTTGGTACTAGCTATCTCTTTCTTAGCCGCTTAAATAAAGAATAAAATCACATTATGAATAAAATAATAATCTTGTACATATTAAGTTTTGTTTGGTCTTTATGCGAATATATATATATATATATATATACTGTGTGTCGCTGTTAAGGATTCAATAGGCCGTATATTGATCGAGATAGATTTGAATTATAGTCGTTGCCCACCTTATGTCGGGTCAACGTTTTTGACTTTTGGGACGAATCCTCATCGACAAAATGACAAATATAATATAGCCGCATAACAGTTGTTCGGTGGTGCGATCACAGTTTCATATTGAGATACTAATCGCAATTGACTATTTACTAAATTACTAGTATCCGATACTAGTATTTTAAATTCTACTGTCTTACTGTCAGTTGTTGACATCGCCAGTAATATACTAGTTTATTTTTATTGTAAAATAACTAATAATGTAAAATGCCACCTAACATATCGGCCATTTTTTTCATTTTATATAATTTTTAAATAGCCGCGCCAACAAAATGTTAGCACAACAATGTAACAACGATTCCAAGACCATTATCATCTATGCAAATAGTCCACACCCAAGTTGTTACCAAGGGAACTGCTGTCACGCGGCCTTGATATCTCGGAATAACGTATGATAATCAAACTGATGAACTATCAATAATTGTAATCTCTGATGAAATCGAAGATTCGATAAAATAAATATCGTTTTTTTGTGATTTAAATATATTTAGTAATTGATGTAGTGATTTCTCTTCAACCCGCATTTGTAAAATAGTGGTGTCTAATAAACTATCGGCTAATGTTGATATGTTTGAAGTATTCGTGGTGTTCTAGAGTCAACAGGTTCATAATCATCTAAATTGAAGGGGAGCTCAACTTCTTAATAGTGTTAGCTTTTGTGTGTAGATAGATGATTGTATACGAACATATAATTTTTAGGAAGAAAAATGTCTTTTATATGGGGAATAATAATTTACGCGTTCAGAATTATGAAATATTGTACTGAATCGTATTGGGAGAATTTTCCCTGGTGACAAACTGGAATGGAATATTATTTTTAGACGGCGTTTGAGTCCCAATACGTTCATTTATTTGGAGTTTGAATTAAACACGTGATTATGGTAATATTTACAACTCTGAAATATGCGGATAACTACCCTTGTTCTATATGACTGGCCGAGTCATTTGAGGGTGAATACTTCACTTGGAAGCGATACAAATGTGAGTTTCGCTGTAAGCCGACAGAACTGCGCTAATAAAATTACAGATTGTTAATCGATAACTGTATATGAATTTATTTAAGTCAACTCTACAGGCCACGTAACAACGTTGTCTACATTGCGAGATGAACATACAAGTAACATACCCTTTCTCCGTTTGTGTTTCGGTCTATAGTAGGTAAACTCCCATATAACACCGATGACAATAACAGCAGCCCAGCCAGCCAGCCCGTACAGTATTAACATAATGGTTTCGGTGTGAAATAACGGTTCTTCTTCAATTAACACATCTAACGTATACGGCTAATGACAAAACACAACAAAAGTCATTGCTGCTTGCGCTTTAACAAAATACGACTTCAGCAATTAAGAAGAAAGCCTTTTAAACTGAAAAGAAAAGATTACGCGCACATTTACATTGTACGTTACAAAATGTGTGTTAGTAGGTCTGTAATTACAGTTAAAGACGGTTGATTACTATGTACACTCAGCCAATTAAATATTATTCATAAATTACAATTTAATCAATTCGTTCATTTCAACATGCATCGATGATTGCGTTATTATCTTATGACGTCATACACCTGGAATTGCTAGTGAATTGATTGACATCGCGTTGATGAAATGACGGAAAACAATCTACTAATCAATATCATTCCTCATGTCGTCCTATATTTAAATTGTTATATCCATCAACATTAGATAATTTTATCTAATAAAGATGCCTTGACACAAATGTGCAGTGGTTTCGTTACGTACTACATACCCTTAATGGTTTCACCCGTTTGCTCAGTTCCGAAAATATACGATGTCGGTTGTTCATGACGTAATTATTAAAACACTGCACTTTGTCGTCTTCAATATTTGTTACAAGTATCCCATAATGCACCGGGTTTTCTACAAATATGGCAATACCGTGACCCAGTTTACCAATCTCGTCTATTTCAGCAGCCGCTATTAACTGGTCAAGAAGATATCCAGACATGTTGTCTACAGATGTATATAACTCACTCAATGTATTGTACACTGTGGGAAAATAAAGCTGTGTTAAATAGTTGTTATTTTAAGAATGGACTAGGCTAACTTTTAAAAATAAGAATGGAGGAGGCTAACTTATCGTAAGAGTGTTGTTGTTTTTCAAACATCCCTTGAGAACAATTCTAATTCTATACCACCAGGAATACCGGTACCCAGTGTACAGGCCTATGTCAATATATCATATTAACGTTATTTGACGATTAACTAAAATCATTAACGCGTTACAGGTAAACGTAAGAAACATAACACAATGTATTTGTTGATTTCACACGGTGTCGATTAAATAATTTGTGGGTTTTGAATTGTACATTTTGATTTAATAAAAGAAAAAAAAATACCTGTGACTTCGGCTCCCGATTGTACAGCTAATCTGTGATCCTCTGTTCCATTTAAGGCTCCCAACTATACAAAATAAACACACAGACTGGATTATGAATTTTAAAAATATGAATGTTCATGACATATTATAATATTTATTGACGCAATACTAATTTAAGAAAGTACAGCAGTATTTGTCATAAAACCCGCAAGACACATACTAATACAAATGTCTACTATATCTCAGCAGTGTCGATTATGTGTAGTTATAATAACACAAAGTACTAGTACAACAGAATATCGTAAACATGTATATTAAAATCATTTGTATGTTTGTTTGTCGTTGCTTTCCAGTGCTGGTGCTATTCTGTATAACAGTGTTGGACGTTTTCTCTGTGTTCGAGTGTCACGGAACACATCGTTACAATAAGCACTTCTGTGACGTCAAAATAACGTATATGGGTGAAAACATTCACCAAGAATGTTGTAAAATATCTCACTTATAAAATTCATTGATGGACGAAAATAGGTCAATACGACATAAGAGCTTGCATCAACATTGTTTAACAATTTTGTGTGTTAAATGTTGCACCAATATTTTGTTGCGAAAACGGGTAATTGACCTGGGTCTCGTCACTTTCAGCCACTTTGAAGCAATTACTTAAATGATTGTACTGACCATACAGCTCGGGTCAAAGAAATATTCACCTTCATGCCTTCTAGATGATACTCTATAGCAAATGTTTGTTCTGTCATTTCAGTGGTGACAATAGCGGTGAAGACGGACAATATAGCAATACCAACAATAATCCAAGCTATTCCAAACAAACGAGCTGGTATCGAGCGGGGTGAACGATCCCCATATCTGAAAAATACAGCAATTCTGTTAGAAATCACCGGCTATAGATTCGGAACTCTTTTAGGAAAGGTACTCCCATAGAAAATATGCTTCTATAGGCACTAATCTAAAGCTAATGTCGCGAGAATATTCCTCCCATAGATAAGAGTATCCCCATAAGCTACTCTCATAATGAAAAAGTACATTCATAGTAAAGATAGCATAGGAAAACAAATCCCATATAAAAATACACTACCATAGCACTTTTATTATTACCATACGAAAGTCTTTGCAAAAACCCAAGGGTATTCCCGTATAAATAAAACGTCATCGGAAACGGATACGTACCTGCATTGTGGAAACTCATACAATCAATATACAACTTCTTAAAAATGAGTCCAATATATAAGGTACTCAAAATACACAATTAATAATCCTAATAATTTTAGTATGGCCAGCATTGCAACGAATTGACGCATATAATATATACATCAATGGATAATGTATATACCGCATGTTAAACAATAATATATATAGTAAAAAACGTTCATACCCAACCGTTGTCATGGTTACAAATGCCCACCAGAATCCTTCCCAGAATCCTCTAATGAATGGTCTTGGAAATTCCAATGGATTCCACAATCGATCCTGTAATATAAATGCAAAGGAGAAATCATTATTGATGACGTCATGTGAAATAACAATGTTAAATTAGGAACTGATAATAGTACGTGATTGTTTTTCCAATGACTGCTATGCACGTGTATCTATGCTCAGGATACCATGTATATTTATGCAAATTTGAGCGAAGAACAATAATGTACAGTATTGCGGATTACTGAAAATTGATGTCAACAACAACAATACATAGTGTCAGAACTATAGAAACAACATTATATATATATAGGAAGGTATCCATTCATTACTGGTGTAAAAAAGATGATCAAATACTGGTATAGAAAAACAAAGTGCCTGAAAATTATCTGGTATATGAAACTTACAGTCCAGGCATAGAACTGGACAACTATGGCATATACATTTAGGCCCCGAGCTTAAAACACATCCTTAAATATCCAGATATATACCATTGTGCCATGAAAAAAAAAAACTCGAACAATGTAATTATAGATAAATTAATATAAAAAAACAAAAAAACTAAAACAACAACTAAAAACAAAATTTAAAAAATAGAAATTGATAACTAAGGCAAAAAGTGACTTTGGCTTTGTAAACTACTTACACGTAGTCAAAACACCCATCACATGTCATCAATGACGAAATTAAGGATTAGTGCTCACAGACTGGGAGATATAACAACACAGATATATCTCAAAGAAAGAAGAACGCCATAGAGGAATATTTCATTATAACATGCGATCTCTACGTAGGAGAAAGGAAAAACTTTATCACCACATTTAGCCAAAAATAAAGAAAAAAACTAAAATATTTTTTTTAAATAATAAAGATGAGAGAACGATAATACAAATAACACCACACTGGTAGCCATATTACGACACGCAGGTAGCCATATTACAACACACAGGTAGCCATATTACACCACATTGATAGCCATATTACAACACACAGGTAGTCATATTACACCACACTGGTAGCCATATTACACCACACTGATAGCCATATTACACCACACAGGT